CAGCTCGCTCCGGCAGGCACGGCGCTACCGGAGAGGAAGGGAGAGACGCATCCAGCCGCGTTGCAAAACATCTGCAAATTTTTTGCAGCTTTTATCTGTTAACCCTGAGAGTGGACAGAGTTGGTACGCAAACGCCTTAGAAACTGGCACAGTGACTTAAAATACTAGTAATACCTTGTTAAAAAAAAAAAAAAAGAAGAAGAAGAGCTCAGACTTCTCTTTTAAGGTAAATTCCTGGCTATTTTGACCAGGGAAAGATGGTTTTAACCCATGGACCCCGGGGGTCAGTGCAGCAATGCATTTAGGAGGCAGGGCTGTCATTTTCGCTCCCTGGGGACAAAGCCGCGAACACCCCAGAATCTCTTGCTCCAGATCGCGGAAGGGAGCTGCGAAACCTGAAGCCAAGCAACAACTAAGGCCTGGAGCCATCCTAAACTCTGCCCAGCCAAAAGAAAAAGTTTCCAACCTTCGAACAAGGGGATGAGCACTTCAGCTCCTTTTCCAGCCCCACTTCCCGAAGCGGTCTCTAAGCAGCGTCCCTTTATTTCACTGACTTCTTTGCTGCGGGATGTTTATCTACACCTTTATCTGACACTCTCTGTTCCTTTGTCTGTTTGCATGTCTTATAATTTACCCTCTACTCATAGCCTGTTTATCTTTAGGTTGGCTCATGCTTTCCTGAACCTATGAACTGTAATATCCCAGCGGCCAGCAGGCTTCTTGTTGCCTTAGTCATGAGTACTAGAGGAAAAATGCTTATTTTTAGTGTGCTCCTCCGACAAGCAGCCCTGGGAACTCCAGTCTCCTGAGGACTCTGGAGTCTGATATTGATGTACAGACCTGGCTATCAAATGGAGACACTAAGTACTAAGGGTATCAGCCCACCTTTGAGACAAGTGGTGTCCCCGTGCTAGTGAGAAGTGAGGAACAGAGGTATCCCCTGCTTACAGACCAAAACTATTCAAGCGGAGGTTCTGGGTTCAGACAGATGTATGATTGCTGCCTGCAGTATTTGCTGTTAATTACAGCCTTATCTGAGCTGATTTGCAGGCTCCTGGGAACAGAGCTGTCACTGGTTTCAACCCGAGTTCTTACGTTGGTGAGTGTAAATCAGAGTGCTCCCTGCCAACCCTATAAAGATGCAAGCAGGCAAGCATTCCCACCAAAGCCCACCTAAGGGTTTGCATGCTCAGAGCGCTAAGCACGCCCATGGATCAGTGCAGAATGAAGAATCCTGAGCTGAAATAATTGCAGCTGCGCTCCACGCTCAAACTTTGCACCCAGACAGCACAAAGCACGCAGAGGAGAGATGGGAAACGGGAGTGAGATGCCTTTGTATCTACTATCAAATTGCAGCTGCCTTGATATAGAGTGGTCTTTCTAGCTTGCTCTCTTGATATTGCTCAAGCACTCACCCAGGGCAGCTGCTGTGCAGTGTGCAATCATGAAGCCAGAGTTCAGACCTCCTTCGGTGACTAAAAATGCAGGCAGTTCGCTGAGTGAGGGGTTGCAGAGCCTCTCAATTCTTCTTTCACTAATTGCAGCAAGTTCATGCACACCGATTGCCAAATAGTCCAGAGCCTATCAAAGAAGACCTCATTAAACCAGATTACAGAAAAAACAAACAAACAAATGAAAACAGAAACTTCTTTTTTTTTTCTTTCTCCAAATTCTTAATTACCTTTGCAGGATATTCACCATGAAAATTTCCTCCAGAAATGGTCTCTGCTCTTTCAGCAAATACCATCTGAAGGAGAAGTCAAGGCACAAACATGAGTGAAATACAGTTTACATGACAAATATCTGTCAGTAATCAGAATATTTTAACTGAATGAATGTTTGTGCTAATAGGTTGTTATTTGCAAGTGCATTATATTACATCTGCGTGTTCACTTTTCAGACAACGAAGACCCAGTTTCAGCTCTCCTGTTTTTCCAAATAGACTACATAAAATGAGGTCTTTGATTGGGGGTAGGGAGGGGCACAAAGAAACACATGTGTTTGGATCCTAGCATGGTTTCTTGGTTCCTTGGTAGATTCTCTCCACGGCAGATACAATTTTAGACAGGTTACAAGCAGTAATGCTTATCACCTGTGGTTGTGATGTTACATATAGCATCATTATACTGCTGAGGGGAATCCAGCCTTGCTCAGCACCAATGCAAGAACTGTGCACAGAGTTGACCAGGCTGAGCCAACGATGAGGCTTACCAGCCACACGTGGTTTGCCTGCCTTCCCTGACTGAGTGCAAATCTTGCTCTATAGTGCAGGTTTCACTCATGCTGCACCAACAGATGTTTCATACAACAAGTCACCATCTGTCTACGTCCACTTGGTTGCCAAGTCCCGTCAATCTACACATTCAATATAAGCATATAGAATCTCATCTAGCAAACATTTAACATGCACTAAACTGCATGCTTATGTGGTTTCCTTCCTCAGACACACACTTGCATGCACCAATGCAGGCATGGAGAAAGTAAGAGAGGTTGCTGTTGCAACCAATGGTAGTTATTGACTGAAGCCAGTTATGACTTTTTTGTCTCCTATGCAAATAATTATATAGAAGAAAAACTTAAAAAAAGGCTAAGCAAAATTTTACATAGAAATAAAGTTATCAAAAAGATACAGGGTTGTCCGTGGCACTATTGATTTCCGTTGTCATGATTTCCTTCACAAAAGCAATTGTATCATTTACAACTCCGTGGACCTAGAACAAAAGACATTAGCACCTGAGCTTAGTATCTACACTTAGTTCATCTTCAGGATGCTGATTGAGCAGCAGGCACCCTCTTTCCCATCATCCCAGTCTCTACACCCACACGTGAAGATCACTTTGTATTTGCTCTTACTATCAGGAGCATCACTATGCGACATTGCCCATCCTAGACACCCAAAAGGTTATATTTACTGTTATTATGACAGTATTGCTAAAGGGTAATCCAAATATGTCATTCTTGTTTGGATATGTTTACCCTAAGTGGAAGATAAGATACTTATTCAGTGGCAGAAGTGTTATTAGGAGAGAAGTAGCCTTACAAAGACCCCACAGAAAACAAAAACTCTCATTAATTAACTTTCATTAATTCCACTGATTTAATAGCTTTGCTCGTGTTAAAACTCACAGGATTGAGTTCTTCCAGTATGTTAAAGATACTACAGGTAGAAGAACAACCTATCGCTCTGGCTGCTTCTGGAAACAACTTTCCCCAGTTCATGGTCTTAGCATCAATGCAGAATAAACACACTACAAAGCCTGCAAGAGTAGAAACCAACATCTGCCCCCTGATTCTGACACTCAGCCTTTTTCAGAGCTGAACACACCTTTGTTAGACGCTTCCTGATCGCTGCGTGCACGAGATCAATGAATACATGGCTCCATTAATACTAAGTTTGAAGTGACGGAGAAGCAAAATAAAGCCGCTTCCTCTAATGGAGTTCAGTGCATAGCTGACAGTATTTCTGAGATGGGAATTTCATCATTGTTTATCTAGTGCTATGAAAGGAAATAAAAGCCAGTTTTTACCTGAGGGCAGCAGCGCATTGTGTACGCGTCCTGAACTCGGTCACAGAACCTATGGCTCTCTATAAGGAACAAGGGAGGAAAAAACAACAAAAAAAAGAAAGCATATGGGTTACTCTTGGAAAGACACAGACTGTCCTGTGTGACCTGAAAGGGTGAAGGTTAAGATTGTTTACCTGCTATTTCTGACGGATGATGGTCAGAATCTAGAAGGGACCTGAATCGAAATGCCACTTCAGCCTGCCCTCGATGTGGGCGCACTGCGTGAATATCTAGGAAAACAAGTTAGAATCTCAGGTTTTGCCTCTCCTGTTAATGGCCATTAAGCAAACAGACAGAAAAGGACCAGTACCCACCAGTGTCAAAGGCCCTTGTTGTACCCTTCAAGACTTCAAGCGTAAGGGCAGCAATTATGTCAGCTTGTCTAGCAATAGCACCAGCTCTTTCAACTGCTTCACATCCCAGCGAGGTGATCATTTGTGTCCCATTGATCAGAGCCAGACCCTTCAAAGAAAGAGCAGACGTTAAGCAAATTCATTACAACTATTCCAGTTGATATTTCCCATGATATTTCCCCATCTCTGTGACAATTCTTCCTCTCATATGAATGAGTTAAAGACCTTTGCTCAGCTTCCTGGATCGTCCTGAAACCATAAAATGCACAGCTTGACTGGGCATCTTTTTTACATAAATTGTCAATGCTCATAATCCTGCCAAGTCATTATAAATGTCCTTGGAGCTTCAGAAGTTCCAAGCAAGAGGTTTATTTCATGTTATTTCAAGCTTAAGCAAGAAAAGTACGGGAAATCTGTATTCTTTTCCAGTTTTTTGGAAGTGGAATGCTATTCTTATTAATTTTTTCTTAAGTTATTAGTTAAGCCAAAGAAGTTATGAGCATGGGGAGTGCAAAAACAAAAAATAAGGAAGTGGAGAATTAAAACAGCATTAGAAGTTATAACTGCTTTAGAAGATTTGTTGAGTTCAGTTAAAACTGGTTTCCTGTTTGTTCTAAACAAACATGAGGCCCATGGGAACCTTCCATTTGCCTTTAAGAGACACTGGATTTGGCTTCTTGCTCCTGGTGCCATTTTACAGCTGCTGAGGCCCCTTATCGGAGAGTTCCACAGCCCCCAAATCTGTTGTGTCCCCACATAAACTGTAATACTTGGAATGAGATTCATCTCACCTAGTTTTAATGGTATCTGACCTAGAAGTCAGATACCTGGTTCAAGTCAGTCATCTGAGCTCCTGTTATGGTCAAAGGGTGGATAGGTACCTTGACAGGGCTTCTTAGCTGTTTCAGGATGATGTAAAATGTTTTCTGAAGATGCCCATCTCTTTCCACCGATCACAGAGCCAATCTGAACACCAAACTTGGGTCTGACATTTCAAGTCAATTAGGGTGACACTAGGAGAGGTGAATCCCACTCCTGATAATATTTCATTAATATTCTTCTTGAGTTTGATTTAAAATGACTGTTAATTAATTTCAGGCTTAAAATGTAAGTATAAAGCAACCAGTAATTGACTATGCTTGTTTTTCTTCAGCTGGCATCATTATACTCTATTACCTCTTTTGATTTCAAGCTAACTGGTCTCAGACCATGGGCTTCCAGGACCTGTGAAGGAGTTTAATGACAAGGCAGTTAATGAAAAAAGTTTTTTGATAATTCAACCACCAAAACATTTAAATTTTAAATGTTTCCATAAATAAAAATATTAACAAATTCCTTAAGTGAAGAGAGAAAAAGAGCTTTATATCACAAATGTCTGAAGTATTTTTTTTCTGCTGGGCTAAATGAAGGGCAGCATTTTTGGGCTTCCAGACTAGCACCTCATTTCCCAGTGCCAGTAAAAGAAGGTAGCAGGAGTACTGAAGGAAGATACTGTCACAGCCCATTAACGTCTACCATGTATTGGCTGATGTGAGAGAGTAATAGGAGAGAAGGCTAGAAACATCTTGGGAAGGTAGTTCTGCCTACGCCCTGCCTCACAGCAGGTTTGGCTTCGCATAAACTATTCCTTTATAAATGATTCCCTAACCCTTTCTATAGAAAGTCTCTAATGACGGTGAGAGTCCTACTCGGTTTATTCTATATATTCCTATTCCATAAGGCAATCGCTCTTGTGGGAAATGGAGGAATGGTTTAACCTTGATTCTGATTAGAGTCCTCTCAGCCTTTCCAACGGAAGAGGTAATACCTCTCAGAGGCGTACAACTGTAATTTCTGGTCCTGAAGGTCCAGGACACACTGGCCTGCTTCGTCCCTACTCCTCTGCCTGTGTAGTTCTCAGTACTTCTCCAGCCTAGAGTGATGGTACAGCTATCAGTTCATGAACAGAATTCATGAGGACAGGCTGAGAGAGTTGGGGTCTTCAGCCTGGAGAAGAGAAGGCTCCAGGGAGACCTTATTGCAGCCTTCCAGTACTTAAAGAGGGCTTATACAAAAGATGGGGACAGACTTTTTAGCAGGGCCTATTGCGATAGGACAAGGGGTAATGGCTTTAAACTAAAGAGGGTAGATTTAGACCAGATCCAAGGAAGAAATTTTTGACAATGAGGGTGGTGAAACCCTGGCACAGGTTGCGCAGAGAGGTGGTAGATGCCCCATCCCTGGAAACATTCAAGGTGAGGTTGGACAGGACTCTGAGCAACCTGATCTAGTTGAATATGTCCCTGCTCCTTGCAGGGGGGGTGGACTAGGTGGCCTTTAAAGATCCCTTCAACCCAAACTATTCTATGGTTCTATGAATAAAAGTGGTGTTCAAATAATTATGGACAGGAGTGATAGGTGTAGCAGAACAAATTACCATGAAAGACTTTGGAGGGGCCAGATATGGAGAAATTCAACACTAGGTCAATCTGTTGATGTATTAGGGACAGAATAACAAGTAATTCAAAATTAATTCCATTGTAAAACTTCCATCTTGTAAAGGAAGATACTATAAAGGTTCACTGTAAGCCTAGCTAATCTATCAAAAATGAAATGTCTGAAATATCTATGTATTCACTTAAAGCCATTATAAAAATCAGTAGAAATTTTACTGATAAGTTCCTGCCTCCAATAAACCTCCAGTTACTCTCAGCATTTGAAGTTTTGAATTTGAGAGGTAATCTTGGGTTTGTTGGAACAGTGCTGATGTTTATGGAGCTGAAGATGTACTAGTAGTTCTTTCATAGCTGGTATTATATCCTGTCCTCTCCAGGTCCTAAATGATGTCACTGTGGTGTCTTGTATTGCAATACTATGGCATGATATTTGTTTAGGACTTAATTACATGCTGCATATTCATATCTGCTCCAGTGACTTCTGGCTCAGTTATTCCATTCTCATGGATCCACCTTCCTCAAGGCAGAGGATGAGTTGCTAAAAGCAACCTAGTCCCAATTCAAACTGGTACAAAAAAATCCAAAGACTTTTACATGTTATTAATCTGAGCAAAAGCTCTCTTTCTCTTAAGGCTGCACGCAATTTGGCAAATGAGCCAGCAAGCAGAAAAAAAGTAATCAGCTACATGAATCTTACATATTTAGCATCAGCCCAGCCACTCTTTGGGGACCACATCTTTCCCTCTCCGATTAATCCCAGAGCAAGATGAGAGAGGGGGGCTAAGTCTCCGCTGGCTCCAACGGTCCCTTTCTCAGGGATATAAGGAAGGCAGGATGCTAGAAAGAAAACAAAAATTACTCCTGTTAGAGCTTCCCCTCAATACAGTCGTTGGAAAACAGAGAAACCAGCACATGACTGTGGTCACAGTAACATCCTGCAATCATGGACAACGGCACCAACAGGACTACTCTCGTCGCAGGCTGGGATCTGCCCCTGCTGCCAGGCTAGCTGCAGTTTATAAAGAAATCGGTTCCCTTCTGCATTTATTTCTGCATTTAGTTCTGGAGTGGGAGGACCACAGACCAAGGTGACAGCATCTACAGCCACACAGCCAGGCAGGTGAAACATCACTCCTCTTAGCTCTCCATCGCAGGGCGACCACCTGGTGTGGACAAAGCTATCTCTTAATTTCTCACTCCACTAAATATTGGGTAACTCCTACAAACCATCTTCGAGCCCTCTTCCCCCATCCCAGCCCCCTGAGCACTGAATGTGTGGAAATGAAGGAACGGGGCCCAGGGAACTGCAGAAGAAGCAGGGGAGGGACCAGCCTATTTCTCTTCTTTTGCAGAGCTAAAGGCTGAATTGCCGCTCCTTCATCCGCTGTGGGAGGAGAAGAGGAGGGTCTCACAGACAGCAACACTGCACAGAGAGAGAAGGTGCTCTTTGCTTGTCACCGACGCGCCGGCATGCCTCACCAGAGGGACCATCAATGGACAGCAGCTGACGAACAGCACGGCTACCCCTTTGGTTTCCCTCTTGGTGGCATCCAGCAAGGCCGCCCAGCTTCAGCTGCGTTGACAGCCGTGGCCGCGTGACCTGCTGGCCAGCCATGTGCTTCTGCGCAGCTGCCTTGTAGCCCTTGGCTCACGAATGCTTGTGTAGGTCTCAGAGGGTCTACTCACAAAAACAGGTGCTGCTCAAGTGGATCTGCTTGACAAACACCAACACGTGTAGTTTTCTACATGGTAATAGCCCCACCCAAAAATCCTGGCATCTCGAGAGATGGTGGCACATGTGAAAGGACAAAACATTCCTGGAAACATTCAAGGTGAGGTTGGACGGGGCTCCGAGCAACCTGGTCTAGTTGAAGATGTCCCTGCACCTTGCAGTGGGGGGGTGGCCTAGATGACCTTTAAAGGTCCCTTCCAACCCAAACTATTCTGTGATTCTATGAAAAGTTAGGGACTTGAGCCTTTGTAGAAGAGCTCACCCAGAGTCAGAGTCATGCTCTTTATCAAGCTTACTCTCGAACTAATTACCTGAATTCTCAGTGGCTCATTTCCTAGACTCCTACCTGTTGCATCCCTTTCTCTCAGCCTTTCCTGTCACTTCTGCTCACATCTCATGTACTTCAACAGAGGAACGGTCTCTAGCCATGTTCTTCCACAGGACCGGTCACAGCCGAGCTTTGGCCCTGATCTCTCACAACTACCAAGTCAAAAGACCAACATCCATAGCTGGATTCATTGACCTACATCCTTCAGTGAAACAGTTAAAAGGAAAAAAAAAAAGGAAAGGGGGATTTTCTTTAAACATCTTTTTACCATTAAATGCTTCAATAACTTGCTGAAGTGTTTCTAGGGATATTCCACTGTATCCTTTTGCTAGAACATTGATCCTCAGCGCCAACAGCATGCGAGATCTCTCTGGGCTCAAAGGCTTCCCCACACCTGAAACAGTAATCCCCTCAGTTACTAACCCACTACCAACAGCAGCAGCAAAGGGAAAACACCAGGGGATTTCCCATTACCTGCAGAATGCGAACGAACCAAGTTCTCTTGAAGCTCCCTATAGAAAAAAAAACATGTAAAAACCCAAATAAGTTTTGTCAGGTTTTATTTTGCACAAAACAGAGGGAAATACTGAAGCAGCCCTCTTATTTAACCACAGCACATAAATGTACAGGGTCAAACTGTTCCCTCTTCATCCTTTCCTGAAAAGAAAGGATGGAGAAAGCCACACTTACCTCAGCTTACTGATTGGAATGACAGTCCTGGCAAACTTCCCAAACCCGGTGGTGATTCCATAAACAACTGCAAGAAATGAACACTGCTAGTTAAGGAGGGAACCCAATGAAGTTTCCTAAACAATGAAAAATTAAAAAGATTTACCCTTCTGTTCTTTTACAATCCTTTCGATCACTTCTCGTGATTGTTTGACTTTAGCTTCAGCCTCAGGTGTGAGCTAAAACATGAGTAGTTTAAAAATTAGTTTATCTGTCATTATTTAATTTTAATTGTAGAAAGATAAACGTGTAATTTTTTACCCAGGTTTGTTCAGAATCTTTACCTTTATCTTGTAGAGCCCCTTTCCTAAGTTGACCAAGTCCTCTGTTGTTAAGCTGTTGCCATCTAAAGAAATATACTACAGCAAAGAACCACCTTTTAGTTTGGGATATGTATATGTATAAAGTTGCTTAATAATCAGAATAAAGAAAACCCAACAAACAGTCAAAACTCAGCAACGACAGGACACTTGCTCATACTCATTCATAAGACGGGAACTCGCTAACGAAAACATAATAAGCACATTATAATTCACATTCCTAGACCCAGCCAATCTAACAGCCCCTGCTCTTGTGAATGCTGCAAAGGTTGAACTCTCAGCACGTTCTGGTGAATAGCAGGATTTGTTCTGAGTTGTACAGTTGTCAGCGATTCCTACCTGTTCTGGTTCTCGGTATTTGCTGTATCTGAAAGTTCTGTAAAGGAAAATAACGGGCAGACAGGGTTTCACAGGTAGTGAGCATTAGATTACAGCTGGCAATGTGTTTTAAGAGTGAAGGAACTCTAAAAGAACAGGGAAATCTAGAAAATTATAAATCTGTAATTACAAAAATTCTCAAAACGCTCAAAAAAGGATACAAATGAACTCCTTCTGGCTGAGATGGTATGAAATCTGGAGACATTATATCTCCTTCTATAACTAGAAGAAATACAGAGAATAAGCACAAGCAGGATTAAATTGCATTCTGCATATAAATTAATTTGTTATTCAGTACAATACACAGCAGTAAGAATTCTAATTTACAGTTATCAGCCCTGAACATATTCGTATGCTTCTAGGAAAATAACAAAGAAGTATGTGTTGTTTAAGGTACTCTAAAGGCAAAAGCAGATCAGCCCAACCCAAGCATATACTATATATGACATCATATACGGATGACGCATATAGAATCCTGAACCTTCTAAACCTTGTATAGTTCTGTTCTTAAAAACTAAATATTCTTAAAACATTTTGGCATTTTTCCATAAGAACCGTAGGCACTACCTCAGACACAGTTTTCGATAAACTAAGCCACACTTTGCTGACTCAGATACCAACACAGTCACTCTCTGATGCGTTGCTTAAGGTTTTGCTTACCAACTTCAACAAATTCGTTGTCCTCTAGAGCATCCTCCACTGTATCATCAAGATCCAGCAAGCCAAGTCCCTTGCACCTTCGAATGTAAAATTTCACTTCTTCCACTGAGGCAAATCCCCCATTGTCAGGTTTGTTTTTCATGTAGCGTCTCACAGCTTCCTTTCCCAGCCACCTGATCGTGTTTGTGCAGCTGAGGCACGGCACTGCCAGCCACTCTCCTCGGACGTGCACCGTGTACCTCGGCATGCTCTCTCTCCGAAAGTTGTCCCTTGACCAAGAAGGGCTGCAGCGTGCAGCAGCCTTACATTTACCACGCAACGGCCTGAAGAGCAGTGGCTAGCTGGAGTCCCGTGTTGCAATCAGATAGCGGCAAAAACCCACCCACAAAATCCCCACCTTTGTAAATAAGCGAGATTGATGTATCCAGCTGGGTTCATCCAATCAAACCAAACCCAGGGAGCACACCCTTTTCACGGAAAGGCAACTCCCCCCCGGTATTTTTTTCCAAAGATCATGTCGGGAATATAGAAATGAAAATCTGGGAGCTGGAGTTCATGTGGCAGGAATAGGTAGGTAAGTCTGAGTAAACTGGAACGCAACTGCTCTAAAAACTTAAGGGTTTATCAAAAGTTAACGGAGTTGGCACCTGGCAGTAGCTCACACTAATGAAAACCTCCACGAGGGGCAGAGCTGGAAGAGAGTCACCCTGTCATTACGGGTCGGTCACGGTTGCTGGCACTGAGAGGAGCGAGGATTATGCCCATACGTCCCTACCTGGAGCAGGGTGAGAGCAGGCAGGGTGGGAAGCCAGCCTGCTCTGCTCAGTCCACGCTGAAGCTAGAGACACGATTTTGTATCATAGGGGAAGCGAAGACGAGTGAGTTTCCCTCCGCTACCCTTTCACTCACGCGCTGGAAGATGTTGCGAGAACAGGTAGCACAAACATCAGGCCATGCCTGCCCGCGGCCGAGCCTGGTGCTGCTATACCATGCAGGCAGACGCAAAGCGTGTGGAGAAATGCCTGTTAAGATGGTACCAAAATAAAGTTTAGCAATGACCACGTCGACACAGACGCTGAAAATACTTTTGTCTTTAAAGACAAAGCAATAGCAACACTCCATGCTACCCACAATAGTGTGCCCGGACGAAGGGACTACTATAAAATGCACTTACCTGGGGTGAATTATTGTGGGGAATTTTAACTTGAGACCCACGGGTGGGAGTTGTCTGTGTGGGAGACATTGCCCCGGCAGAGCAGGACAACGCTAGCGAAAGACATGCCTGCCATTATTTTCATTTTTTCCTAGCTCTGACAGCAAGAAATCAGAACTGAATGATGAACTCCAATTGCTAAATCACAACGTAGGATATTTGTGTTTTTACAACAAAATATTACCCCCAAAACTAGTAATATAAAACAATTCCAAAACAAAAAACCAGGAGCTTTTGTTGCAATCTGATAGCTTGCACCAGAACCTGTTAACACCAGATACAGCCTCTTCCTACCAGAGCATCACCTGAGAGAATCCCCGTTCGTTCAAGCAATGCTGTAGCAGAAGCCTAATTAGATTTTGGGAGTAAATTAAAGGAAATGTGTAATTGTCTAACTTGAAATACAGAAATGTTCTTTTCAGTGAGTTTTCCAGCAAAAGTTATCACTTATTCAGAGGAGTAGCAAGAAGAGAATGAATGGCTTATTAGGTCCTTAACACAAAAAAGACTCCAAGTTCTTTACATGCAAGGAAATTACACTATTTTGATTCCAAAAAAGCCACTATTTTATTGTGTTTATTAAAAGCTGAGTGGCACAACATTTATAGAAAGAATTTAAACTGGTTTTTGAGCCTCAGTCACCTAGGAGTTAATTTTTCTGCCATTTTTATTTAAACTACTCAGACATATGTAGGTTAAAGTTGCATGGAAGACCTCAGGATGCCTTGAATCAATGAAATCCAGCAGGCTATGTTCATAACTTAATTTATATTACAGCTGCTAGCATGGAAAGATGAATCTCCTGGCAAAGTATATAACTTCATCTACTTGAAAGTTTATGCTGATCAAAATCCAGATCAGAAATAAATTGATTTATATGCTCTCCGCTCCAACTTAGTGTGCTATCATTAAACTCAAAACTTTTGCCATGTCTTATATTTGGTATCTTCCTCCTCTAAAACAGCACTTTTTTTTTACTTCTCCTTTGTTACTCCTCCATAGAGGAGTTAGTTACCTCTACGTCAACAGATTTAATTTCTGCCAACTGATCGCCTCCAGGAAAAGCAGTTCTTCTGAAACTCACTTCAGAGAACGACCCGCAGACGGCAGTATTCACAACAGTTTCACCTAAACCATCAACTTGAACTGAAGCGCTGCAGCAATTCCAGGAACTGTGGCCCTCTGACTGTTTTTTTACCTTATCTCGCAATTGTTATATTAATATAAGTGGTAATGCCCAGAACTGGTTAAAATATAAAAAAATTCAAATGGGGGAAAGAGAGACTTGGGCTTTAGTCCCCCTTGAAATAATTCAAAGTTTTGAAAACATATAGTGGCTTGAAATGATTGAAGTAAGTCACTAAAAGCATAGCAAGGGATCAAATCTGAAATTTGGTAAAAATCCCAGGTTTGCTAAAAAAAGAAAACAGGGAAATATTTCAGGCAACTATTAGTGCACAGCATAGGATCCAACAGAAATAACTAAGTAAAACCATCGTATTGTGATTCATGTGAGGAATTGACCAACGTAACAAAGGAGCTGGCAGAGGAGCTTGCCAAGACACCCTCCATCATTTATCAGCAGCCCTGGTTAACAGGGGAGGTCCCAGATGACTGGAGGCTTGCCAAGGTGATGCCCATCTACAACAAGGGCCAGAAGGAGGATCTGGGGAACTACAGGCCTGTCAGCCTGACCTCCGTACGGGGGAAGATTACGGAGTGACGAACAATCTTGAGGGTGCCCACAAGGCATGTGCAGGACAACGAAGGGATCAGACCCAGCCAGCATGGGTTCATGAAAGGCAGGTCCTCCTTGACCAACCTGATCTCCTTCTATGACCAGGTGACCCGCCTAGTGGATGAGGGAAAGGCTGTGGACGTTGTCTACCTGGACTTCAGTAAAGCCTTTGACAGCATCTCCCACAGCATTCTCCTGGAGAAACTGGTGGCTCATGGCTTAGACAGGTTCACTTTTCAGTGGGTAAAGAACTGGTTGGATGGCCGAGCTCAGAGAGTTGTGGTGAACAGAGTTAAATCCAGTTGGCAGCTGGACACAAGCGGTGTTCCCCAGGGCTCAGTTTTGGGGATGATCTTGTTCAAGGTCTTTGTAGATGATCTGGATGAGGGAATTGAGTGCTCCCTCAGTAAGTTTGCAGATGACACCAAG